ACTGCTCATGTCTATAGGCGACGGGTACCACTTTCCATCAGGTGGGCCGTCAGCTTGTTTGCCATTCTAAGTTGTATAAAAAAAAAATTCAAGCGGATTTATAAAATGCATCAAAGAAATCTAATCTCAACGGAACAAACAAGATAAGATATAAACAGCTAAAATATACAATAGTTATCGATAAAAATACAAATAGGTATACAGATTAATTGTCAGATATCATTATTAATTGGGTATTTTCCAATTGTTAGCCTAGGCCAATAGCCACTCGACAAACCAGGCTAGTCGACATCATACATCGGAAAAAGATTTATTGTGTTATGTACTAAAAAGTAAATAATTAATGTTTTACAAAATAAAACTAATTTTAATTGTGACAAAACCCATTATTTAATCACGCTTTGGAATCGACACTACAGGCACTATTGCCTATATCGAAAATACTATTATTTTCGAATAGATACGACATCGTAGTCATCAAGAAAAGATAGAAGATTCGTTTTTTAATAGGCCGGCAGCACACTTATATTTACCATTAGGTGAGCCGCATGCCCGTTTGCCCCCTTTGTTATAGAAACAAAAATTGATTTAAATACTAAAGTACTAAACCGACATGGATAACATTTCTATAGGACTAAACTGTAACTATATTTTTTCAGATAAAAAAATAATTTCTCAAATCAGTTTAGTACTGACGGAGTTAATAGGTAATAAACATAAAAGAACAACTATATGGAGAACCCCCTTCTTTTTGATGTTGGCTGAAAACATGTTTATGACAATGTTAGAGTTTATATAAAAAATAGAAGGTTTTCAACATCATTGCATTTTTATATATGTAGTGAATACGTGATAGATTAAAAAAAAAAACTACTTAAAGTAATTCCAGAAAAATAAGAAGAATAGGCCTAAGGAAAAATGGGGAAATAGACATAATTCGTAATCATATCCTATCATTATCATCTCAGCCATTATCTGTTCACAGTTGAACATAGGCCTCCTCTAAAGACTGCTTGCTATATATATGAGGAACTGACAAGGAACGGTCTTAAGCCCCCTGCATCCACTGACTGCCTATAATACATTTGAGGTCTATTTAGTAGGGATCGTCGTACACTGCGTTTGCCTGTACGGAGTCGCCACTTAAAAACTTTCTTATCGGTTGTTGCTTCTTCGAGCTATGTGACCAGCTCATTGGTATTTCAGCTTGTTTATCTTTCGGGATATGTCGCTTACTTTTGTTGTTTTACGGATCGTATCCTGGTAGTATTTAATGGGATTAATTTGTTTATTACACCTTATGACGTTCTCTTCTAATTGACTATGTCATTTATATGTAGATATAAGTATTCAGTTTATGATCCACAAGAGTCGGGAATTACCGCAGAAATATTTAGTTTTCTAAACAATCATAAAAAGTCACAATCATAAAATATTTAAACGTTTATTTTTAGTCTACGGTAAACGTAGAATTTTGTTGTTCATTTGTTTTCGTGGAAGACACCACGGAGTTACTGAAAACAAGTTTATAACCGCAATACACGCTACTTTGTATTCATTGAATTAATGACGTCGTCGAAATTGTACGACAACACGATGAAAATTCACGAAATAGCTTTACGAATATACGTATTTATGTAATTATATTTACATTCTTATTAAAGGAGTACAGAGTATATTATTATTTTCGATAATACTATTTAATCGCTAGTTTAGTATAAAGATATTAAAAGTCCTTGTTCTTAATAATATTTATTATTAATAATAAATATTATTTAGGATCCCTAAATATTTTATCAAATATTTTAAGTATTACAACATTTTAATAAAACTCTTGTATTTTAATATTGTTGTTGTACATACCTAACTAAATTTAATATGAATAATGATTAATAGAATTTGCACTCAATAACTGTTCATCTTCTAAGAAGTGAAGCAACATAGAATAGGTATGGTAATTATTTGAATAGTTTGTAATTCATATTACATGGAACAGTGGCATTATTATTAATAAAAATTGAAAAAAATAGGCATACAACAGGATTCAAACCTACAGCTGTTTGTAATGTGAGCTGAGTGTACACCATAATTAAGATTGTGTTCCACAAAAAACCGACTTCCATCATAGCAAAATAAATTATTTCATTAAAAAAATCCAGTTTGATTTAATTACTAAACTACTGGACTGATTTTAATATTTTTTTTTATGGTAACAATCTAAGAGTGTATTTTTTTTAAATGAAAAAAGAATTTCCCAAATCGATTTATACACTAATGGAACCCCGTCAGTTATAATCCTAATATAATAATAAGGTAAAAAACGGAAAAATATCCTCTGAATTGAGAACTTCCACTTTTTTAAGACAGTTGAAAATAAGGAATACTATCAGTTACTATAATTTCTTTCAATATAATTTAATGAATATGTAAACAAACAATTGGGCATTCTGTTGACGTCTAAATACATTACGAGTATAAATAAAAAAAAGAAAACGATTAATTGATTAAATATTTCGATATGTCACTAATTTTATTTAGAAACTGTTTCTGTGATAATTTCACCAAAATTTTATTATTTTTTATAGAAACTTATTAAAATAGACTTTATTATACTGTCAGCAAGAAAAGCCAAATCCTGTGTGATCGACTTGTTGAATATAAATTTTTTCAACTTGTTAATCATTTAGGATTTCTAAATGTGGCATTTAAAATATTTTCAAATATATTATGGTGCGGTACTTTGAGTGCCAACCGATCCAAACTTCAATCCTACTAATATTATAGATGTGAAAGATTGTAAAGATGTTTGTATATTTGTTACTTAATTGCTCTAAAATGACTAAATGGATTTGAATATAATTTTATATATGGATATATTATATCCAAATTTAACAGATAGCATATTTTACATACTGATTTATACGGTCGAATTGAAACCTGCAGGAAGCAACGAATCAGAAATCAAAACTAATTAAACATTAAGATCTACTTAACTTTATACATATAATTAAAAATTGTAAAATAACGCTGGTGCGATATGTTAACTTTGCATGTTATTTATGGATAAATATAAAAACAATCTGCTTCCAGAAGCTAACTAACACAGGGGGAAAATGTTGGCCAGAGATATAAATAGTCTACCAACTGGTATGAACAACAGCTATTCGTATCTGTTGATCTTTAGAGGTAGCGCCTTAGTCCATGTGTATTTTAATAGTCTAGTAGTAATTTAATTTTGAACTTCTTATATTACGCATATACTGGTTAAAAATCGAATATTAAATATTCTTTAACATGAATTGAAATATTTTAAATTAATCACTACTAATCTACAACACTCGTCTATATTATTATTACTATCAGGTTATCAGTAAGGTTTTGAGTATGGTAGTTACAATAACAAATATGTTAAAAGTCTGTTATCCAAAGAATAATATCGGATAACATACTTTTAAGATATTAAAAAATAGTCATATGGCAGATATGAGCTATATCGAAATGGGTGATGAATAAAAAAGCAAGAGTAATGATTATAATTTGACACGAGAGTATATATATATATATATATACATATCACGTAATACTTATGTATATAAAACAGACGTATAAATAAGGGATCTCTTCTTATTGAAATTGGTTAAAAAGGGCAGAGTTCAATGTTCTAGAATAATATGACGTCAAATCGTCTGATCGGTACATTCCGAATAACACAGCTATAAATAACTTTAGTTAGCCCACAAATAAATCCTGGCTATGGCATTCATTCTGTAACTTTTAGTGGAAATTTTAGTAAATTATGTTTAGCACCGTTTTAAATGGAGGGCAATCTTTTAAAGAACTTAGATAAACATTTTGCAATGTATACTTATGTAGGTATCAACCACTATTTTATTGTTTCCGGATGTGTAATCATTCAACGAAACGAAAAAAAGGTTTCAATTGTGACGGAATTTATAAGGTACTAACACGCGAGGACCTATTGAATATGTAAAAAATTATATTATCATAGTAGGTTCAGAATTGACAAAGATCACGCGTAACATACTCAAGAAAAATATAAGCCGATCAAGAAACTTCTTAAGTAAACTAAACTTTAATAAACTTTTATAAGTCGCTTAAATAATTCTTACTAATTTTATTTCTTTTATAACTATCTCACTAATATAATATAATGAAACTTTCTGACGCACAAAAAACCGACTTCAATTGTGATATAACCAGTTATTTTGAACTAAAAACTAAACTACTAAACTTTAAGTATATCCTTTCTGATAAACAAAAATCTCAATCGGTTTAAAAGTGACGATGTTATCACAATTGAAATTCAAACTCACAAAGATGAATGTTCAGTGGTCGCCTGCCAAATATTTTTAAATGACTGTTATCAATTCGACTCTGTTAGCTTCATATTAATTTTGCTTTAAATGGCACAGCTTCAAATTTAAAATCTACTTTTATGGGACATCTCATCATCAATTAATAGGTTTTATTTGTTTTAAACCAATAATACTGACATCATTCTTCTAATCAATATACGTATGTTTTATATCGTTACGATGGAAATTGCTATTTCTTCGAGGATTAAAATCTAATTTCTTAGATCTTAATATTTAAACATTAGTATTTAATTGTTGGAAGTTTCCAAATTTGAAAATTTTGTTAAATGTTGGTGATGTACCTACACAATTTGAAGATACATAAAGTCGCTCTTCTGTTGTTTATATTTGACTAGTTTTATAAAGAGAAAAGATTTGATTGTTTATAATGCATAAATTTAAAAACTACTCCACTGATTTTAAACATTCTTTCACCTGTATAAAGCTACATTATCAACTAATAATATAGACTGCAAAATTCCATCTACCTGTGCGAAGCCGGGTCGGATTACTTGTATTGGATAAAAATATATCCATGCGTCGAAGTTTACCATATGAATGAAATCTTCTGTTAAATGTGTTAAGATTATTTTTAGCAACAAGTTGGTAAAACAATTATGGGTTTTTACAGGTTATTCTAGTTTTGAGATACTATTATATTAGACAACAAAAATCATAGTTTTTTGAGAGTGATACTTTGTAATAATAAAAGTTGCAACAGTAACGGAGAGGTTGTGAAGTAATAGAATGTCTTGGTATGGTCATATCATGTGCAGAAATGAAAGCTATGTTTCAAAGAAAGTGTTAAGTATGAAAGTAAATAGATGATAAGACAGAGGACGACAGGCGAAAAGGTGGATGAACTGTGTGAAAAATGGTATGCATAAAAGATTAGTGAGCCCAGAAATGTCAGTTGACAGGGATTTGTGGAAGAAGGCATACCGCGCCGACCCCAAATAAATAGAGAAAGGCAATACAATGATGACCTTACATGTAATAATAAAATAACAAAAGTGGGAATAATCTGAGTGATAGATAGATAGATACCCTTTATTGTTTCCTCCATAAGAATACAAAAGCAAACTTATTATAAATACAAACAATGAGTGATACTCATTTAAATGGAAGTTAATCATTACAACAACAAAATATGTAAATGTGAATGTGGTACTATATTATTATATATTTTTATTTACTTCACTTCTTCTTTGACTTTCCAAAAAGGAGGTTCTCAATTCAGTGCATCTTTTTTATGTTTGATACCTCATAAATTCGTCGTTTTTAAATTCATTTAAACAATTCTAATTTATCTGAAAGAATATAAATTCAAATTGGTTTCATAGAAATTTTATCAAAATCGGTTGTTATTCTTTAGTCAAATCAAAATAACTAGTTTTGTTGGGATTTTAGTCGAAGTTCTTTTTTTCTAGAACAAAATTTATTACTCGTACGTGTAGAATAAAATATATGATGGGTGGCATCGTATATTTTGTTCTGAATCATTGAACGGAAACTACTCGAACTTCCTATTATACTTGTATTAACGACAAAGGATTCATTTGACAACTTGTTTACCGCAAGCTATAATATTGTATTATTTGTGCTATTTTTTGGTACTAAGAAATAAATACTTTATTTATTATACCTTATGGACTGAATTCATAATAAATATCCTATTAATATAAATAAATGAAAATTTGTAATGATGGACAGATTGATAAAAATTGGTTTATGTGAGTAAAGATGTAGAAAACAACTAGTATACGTAAATGCGAAAGTTTGACAGGATATTTCAATAGATGGATCTTTGATACTCTTTCACATAAAAACTAGTAGACAGTTTTTAATGAAATTTGATACATAGGTAGGTTGTATGCTAACTTAGCATATAGAATGCTTTATGTCATGTATACATTTATGATATTTATTTATAAATTAACGATTACTACATGCTAGAAGAAATTATAGGATCAAAAAGTCAAATGTCAAATCACAAACTCTTTAAGAAATATTTAAATTTAGCGAAGAAACTGAATATTTTCTCTATATTATTTATAAATTTGAACATAATAAATTATTTCAGTTATTGTGTTTAAATTAAAATATAGGTACATGGTAAATAACGATAAAATGTACATGACATTATTTCATTAATTTAATTTTATCTGGTGTTTTAATTAAACGAATTTATACTTATCTATTAAACTACTTATGAACTGATATCATCAATTTGTCAAATTACACATATTACCTGAGATAAAATTAGTAGTATTAAATATTAAGCCGACATATCTTTTGTGTTACTTCGACATTATTTAAAAGAAAAAGAAAGCGTATCAAAAACGATTCAATAGTTTAGTTTTTAAATCAAAATTACTGGTCATAACGAATAAATAAACGAAGTTGGATTTTTTTTCTGGAACACAATTTTAAATTATTAACGAACTTTGCATCTATATTTTGTTAGTAAAATAAAATAAAAAAAAAAAAAAACTTTTATCTATAACCAATAGTACGGTTTTAAAATTTTGTTACTGGGTTATTGAGGTGTCGCTACTAGGATAGACATCTACTAATTATGTCACGATGACCCAGTTCGGTCCCTCCCTATATACCTACAGAAGTTGACCTGTACTATAATATACTCTAATAAATGACTGTTAGTTGTCCAAGTAGCAAATTATATAATTACTTTTGCACATTAATGAACGTGGACGAATACAAGTTTTATTTCTTTTAGTTTTCTTTCTATCTTTTTTCTTGTGTTTCATTTAAATCATTCAATGTTGACCCAGTTGAAAAAGTTCCATTTCCATGTTCATGATATTAATGTTGCCAAATTAAAAAACTTTTCCTTCAACTGGCAATTGGCTAAATATAAGTACAGCAAAAACCGAAGTAAGTTTCGTAAGTGGCGATTCGGTACTCTCATCGATATCGGTACCCCATCGGTTGTCGGTTCTTCGAGCTTTATGGCCAACCCATTGCCACATTAGCTTGCTTATCCTTCGAGTTCTGTCGGTTACTTTGGTTTTTTGCGGATATCCTCGTTTTGGATTCTATCAACATAATATAGATTTTATTAATTAAATACTGTTTTTTATTATACCGCAAAGGTTGCAAACAAGCATACAGTCCGTTTGATGGTAAATGGTCACTTAACTTATGGACCTGTGACACTAAAGGTATCAAGTGCGTGTGGCCAAAAGTAAGTTTTTATAAGTTATTTAAAAAATTTAAATTAAATTATTAAACAAAACAAATAAATAGAAAAGCATTTTCTATGTTTCTATACGCACAACAGTTTTATTTCAAACTTTAATTCAAGGCGATATCTTATTATATCTATTTTATTATTATAACACAATGAAATTTACTGAAATGAATCACTGGAATTATAATGAAATATTTAAATAAAAATTTATTTACATTAATATGTTGTAATAAATTAAACCACATTTAAGATAATAATGCAAGCACAACAATTACGCAGTATTATCATGTGATAATAAACATAGTTAAAACTTTTTTGTAACTAAATATGTCGCGCCTGATAGAAAATACCTTTCCATCGACTAGGGATTGGTAATATCGATACCGCTCTTATATATAGATATCGAAGCTATATATTAGGTGCATCTGGATATTTATGGAGGTAAAAATGTCATCATCTATTTCGATATCGTTCACACCGATTGGATATCTGTATTCATTTTGATAAGATGCTTCATTTCAATATTATATATTGGATAAACGATATTAAATATATTCGTTATTAAACCAATATATAGGTAGTGTAACTACATTATATAGATACCCTATTACTATATATTATCACCATCTCTACTGTATACTGTGATGCCCGTAGTACACCTCATATGCTGCCATTCCTGAAGACTATAGTGTTATGCTTCAATATCTTATAATTCCAATAACATATTTTATTCAAAATAAAACATAGTCATACAAACACAGTTGTTTAACGGCAGAACCACGAATGGGATGGAAATAATCAAACAGACTTTTGTACAGTCTTCTTCTGGTAACTATGTAATTCTAGGCATTTTGAAAAAGTTATAGTATGAAAGGTTACTACTGCTAAATATTATGTTATATATATAAGGGTAATGCTCCCTAGTATCAAGAATTTATAGACGGAGAGTCTGTTCGTCGTGCACGGAAATCACTCCAGTGAATCACTGAATGACGGATTTATGTGAAGCAAGAAATGAGTGGCAAACGGTAGACCCAAACAGGTATATAAAAAATTAGAAAGTCCTGTCTTCTCAATAGCTTAGTTGTAGACACATTATTTTATTGTAGACATTTTTTAAACCTTATAATATAACAATTTTTTTTTTAATGGGTGATAATGGTATGGTAACCCCGTCTGCGCTATTGGTATACGCTGGCGGGGCACCAGTGAGGGATGACAGATGAAGATGAAAGTAGGTCAGTTAGCCCATCCTGACGAGTTAAACTAGAATTAGTTACGATGGTTTCCAGGGGGAACCACGTGGAGGTCGACCTGACAGGATATATTGCTAGTAATAGGGCTATTTGACCCCATTACTAACAATCCCTTTTCCCTCTATAATATAACAATTATAAATATACAAAAAATTATAAATAATTAACACAACTATTATTTTCATTACTTTTAATATATCCTAGTAAAATACCACAGATTTTTATAATAATTTAATAATAGCAAAGAATTTATCCTTACCAATATTATAAAAATAAAGTAGTTAGTTTATTTTTAGTCTTAGTTAACAGTTATGAAAGTCATTTATCCAGCTCAATCAATATATTCACACAGAGAAAGTCACCGGTTACTTATTAGTCTACTAGTTATAAGGAAGAAGATAAAAATAATATCGTTACTAATCCTTACTTAATATTTTAAAATGAAGGTGATTGTCTGTTTGTTATTCCTTAGGACCTTAATGTCTCAAATAATCCCTACGCAATTTAGTATACCTAGTATTTGAGATAGCGAAAAATATAGCTATCAACTTGATATATATTGAAACGGTTTTGAAAATAATATAATTTATTTGGATAAGGATTTAAACAGAAGTATGAATAACATGATGTAATTTTGGTCGGTATTTCTATCAACTTTTAAAATGTTAAAAGTGGTTATTGTGACATAACGATAATAGTTGGATATATAGTATCGTGAAGTTTTTTGTAGTTATTGATATTTTCTTCAATATATTGTAGTAGAACGTACTTTTATCTATCACCAATAGTTTCCGCAGCGCACGCGACGAAAGATATTTTATAGCATTTATTTACACCTTGAGTTACGTTACTAAAGATTTGGTAAGGAACTCTAATCTTTTCTAGCAATAAATATAGCCTGTGTTACTCAAGGTGAATGTAACTCTCTAATAGTGAAAGAATTTTTGAAATCGGCATAGTAGTTTTTGAGTTTATTCATTACAAACTTACATACACACAAAAATAAATTTTTTTCTCTTTATAATATAATATTAGTATAGACAACGCTATCGCGTTGTACATGTTATTCGTATCCTTATCGAAATAAATTATTTTGTATTTAAAATTGTTTCAATACTTGCAGATTAGATCCATTTGAAAGATACCTATTATGTTAAAAAGTCAGAAATAAATAAAAAAGGCGCCGCTCGCCGTCCGCGCCGTATCGGCCACGTGGCAAGCTAGCCAGGCATTGTAGCGGTGCGGGAGAGGGTCAAGTGGCAGGCACATCTATGAAATAGGTAGCCACGCAGCTCATTCGCGCGGACGGCTCCTTACGCAGTGAACTTAACCGATATTGAACATTTCTTGACGATTTTAATTGCATTTTTCTTTGTCGAAGTTTAAAAATGTCCACCCGTGCGAAGCTAGGAGGGACCGCTAGTAATAAATAAAACTGTCTAAACAGTGTGAGCTAATCAAGCCAACGCTCAAAAAGAACTCAAAAACTCTCTGATCGCGCCGAAATGGTGTGAATTATGGTACCAGTCTTTAACGTCTGTGTCAGAATATAGGCAGCTTAATAGGCAAATCTCCAAATGTATACGGCGTGACATACACCAATTCAATAATAGTATATGCATTATGCACAGGCAATAGAGCAGAATTAAGGCTCCAAAGTGTTCGCCTGAGATTTGGCTATTGGGCGAAGTCAACTGACAAAGTTGAAGATCGACACCGGTGATATAATTTCCGTTGCATATGAGATTTTAAGTGAGATTGAGAAGTTAAATAGACAGCTGTACACAACGTTGTTGACACCGCATACTAATGCAAATAAGACCAAAGAGCTAAATTCACCCGACACTATACCGATGATATCCCAGACGTCAGTTTGCAAGAGATTGAAATGGCTTTTAAACAGCTTAAAAACGGCAAGGCACTTGCAGAGGACGGAATTACATCAGGGCTTCTGAGAACGGGTGAAAAACTAGTATTTTCAGTCCTTCAGAAGCTATTTAATTTCGTCATCCATAACGGTGTTAAGCCAGAAGCGTGGAACAGAAGTGCGATAGTCTTAATCATCAAGAAAGATGACAATTTTCTATTGAAAAACTATAGATCGATATCCCTTCTAAATCGCGTCTACATACTGTTTTCGAAAGTCCTGACCAATCGTTTTACGCGCCAACTCGACGACTTCCAGCCACCCGAACCCGAAGCTGGCTTCTGAAAAGGCTTTAGCACCATAGACCACATACACACGCTATGGCAGATTATATAGAAGACCGAAGAGTATAATCTGCTACTATGTCTGGCGTTAGTAGACTATGAGGAAGCCTTTGATTCGGTTGAGACATGAGCGGTACTACAGTCCCTCCAGCGGTGCCAGATTGACTATAGGTATATCGAAGTATTGAAGTGTATGTACAGTAAGATTACGATGTTTATCCGAGTACAAAACCAGAGTGTGAAACCTATCTCAGTGCAGAAAGGTGTAAGACAGGGTAAAGTCATATTTCCGAAACTTTTCACAGCTGCATTGGAAGATCTTTTCAAACTTTTGGACTGGAAAAGAGATAGTATAAACATCAATGGCGAATACATTGATTTGCCGATGACATAGTAATTATGACGGAATCCCTGGAAGTTCAGAATACTATGCTCAATGACCTCAATGGTGTTTCTCAACTAGTTTTAAGATGAACATGAACAAGACTAAGATTATGTCAAACATCCATGTCACACCTATACCGGTTACGATTGAGAACACTTCGCTCTAAGTTGTCGATGAGTATGTATACCTCGGACAAGTTATCCGAGTAGGTAAGTCCAACTTAGACCGAGAGGTCAACCGTCGAATCCAATTCGGCTGGGCAGCATTCGGGAAACTACGCCACATCTTTTCATCCAAAATACTTCAGAATTTGAAGACGAAGGTCTTTATCAGTGCGTATTGCTCATTATTTTTACACATAGCTCGAACAACCGACAACCGAAGAAAAGTTCTTGAGTGGCGACCGCGTAAACGCAGTGTAGGACGACCCCCGCTAGAGGGAGTGAAGACCTGAAATTCATTACACAGAATCAATGGATGCAGGTGGCTCGGGACCATCATAATAAGTGTAATACACTTAGTAATTTATTGTGTACTATCTTTTACCTGCAATTGGTTAAACCATTAAAGCGCTATAAAGAAACAAACAAACAAAATCACTTTCACATTTGTAATAGTAAGGATACAACGAAATTGCGTCAAGATCTTATCGCCATTATTGAATGGACAGATATGTAATAATTCTAAAAATGTCTGATTTGTATATTTTGTGTTTGAGATGGAGAAAAATAAAGGCTACAATTTATCCTGATCAATAAGTATATCCCGGTCACGCGGACGGATACGCAATAAATAATAATTATAATAATTCTCTTAAAGCTTGGTTACTTTGTTATTGTCATAATACGTGAGATCACATTTTATAATACGATCACGTTCATTAGTTTTGTCAAGGTTAGTCTATGCGTCTCTATAGGTAGAATTTTAAAGGAAAACTCAGTTGTAAACAAAAATGCAAGGTGATTATTTTATTTGACTCGTCGAAGTGACGTGGAATAAATAAGTCAGTAGTATTACTTTATGTAACAGATAATAATGTTATAACGTATATAAATTAATTAAAATTATTTTATAATTCCACTACCAATGTATGTATACGACTGCCTAAATCTAAGGATTGTTTATTATTGACATTAGTAAAATCACGACAAATTATAATCGATTAACCAGTGATATAGTCCCGTATGGTCTCAGCATAGAATGGGTTACCTCGTCCTTTCTGGCGGGTGTCGTAAGAGGCGACTAAGGGAACTTAATGGTCAAGGGATGGGCAGCAGCATCCCTCTTAAAACATTACTGAAGCCTAACTGCGGTTGCCAACCTACCTGCCATGCGTAGCAACTACTGGCAAAACCCTCCTTATGGTGGAGGCCTATGTACAGCAGTGGACGGTTATTACCAACCAGTGATATGGACTTTCGTGATTTAACATCTATTTCAATAGAATATTTACAATTTAAATATCATCATCATTCAAAGCAGTCTAAGTTCTTAGGTTTTTCTAGAGTCAGTAAGTTAGTGGATACTAGAAATATTCTATAAGCGTAAATAATATTTAATAAAAAGTAATTTTGTTTTCTAAAAGGTAGACTACCGCCTTTGCTAGTTTCTCTCTAATTGCTTATTTTTACCTTATGGCCCGCATTTACTAAAGTAATTTAAAATTTTTATTTTTAATATCTATATAACTGAATGTTTGTTTGTGTAAAGTTTTAATTATAATAGAGTTACAGATAGGTACAAATAGTACATAGTGATTACTTCTTTCCTTCCCTATATTGAGTACTGTACTATGACTAGTAGCTACGTTATTTATTATGTCGTATTAAATATTATGATCGTTTCCAGTAAATAAATATTTATTTAAAAAAGAAAAATGCTTAGTTTTCCCACTAAAAATTCAAGTGTAGGCTCGCAATTCTTTCGATATTGTAGATTTTTATGGATATAATTACCATCAGGTGATCAACATGCCTTTATATTACGACCCCTTAGATTGTATAGATAGAGGGTCTCTATAGAATTGCTTCGAGAAAAACGGATCAACTATTGCATACAATTTTGCGTGATAAATATTTATGATTCCTTTATAACTTCTATATTTATTTTGTCTTATAAATTCTGCATCTTTTAAACACTCACTTTATTTTAAAATAATACGTCATCATGATACATTTTATAAATAAATATATAGAATACTGATAAAAAATCAAGTCAGCTAATTTGACAATTAACTGACAAAAAGTTTACCCTTTTTGAGGCTCGATGCTCTATCTCTCCAAGCTTTCTAATCTAAGTATGATCCTAATGGGAAGTGCGGTGGTGCTGTCCATGATCAGCACCATGGTACCACCACAGAATATATACTTATAATATATTTTATGTGTTGCCATGTTGTCATACTTTAGGATTGGGTTAAACCTTTCAGTTATTTCACCATTATATTTCACCTCTTAAAACCTTGGTTAACCAAAACACAGCTATTCGAAGACAGATGGAAGATAAATATTTTTAAGAGTAGTCTGATAGAATTTACATGTTCGATAATGTTTTATTGATTTTTACCATAAACATGAGTTCCATAGCTAACATTGCCGAGAGCAGACAAATTCCAATAAGAATGAGCAATAAACGAGACACGCATACTGAACATCAGACGCCAGACGTAAACAAAGTTTTCTAATATAGACATTTGCTATATTTAATTTACCATAACTTATCTATACTAATTTATAAACGCTTTGTCTATTTAAACTTAAACTTGTATCTAATTGTGTCTCTCTTTTTTTTTTAATATAACTTTATCAAAGTTTGCCTTATAAATCATCATCATCATCATCTCAGCGATTATCCGTCCACTGATAAACATAGGTCACTCCCATAGACTGCCACAAAGAATGGTCCTGAGCTACCTGCATCTCTCTGACTCACTGCAATGCATTTCATCTGCTGTCTGAAAGATATCACTGTTTTAAGATAAGATAGTCACCATTTTTACTCTTTTTAATTCTTGTAATAAATGATAATGAAGTTTTTTTCAATAGATGAATATAAAATTATAAACCTGCCTGCCTGCATTATTATACTGGCGGGATAGTAGATGGATTTTTATTATCATATAGTGACTCCGCCAGCGCTATCAGTGTACATCCAGGGGAATCCACGTGGAGGTCGACCTGTTAGACTATTAGTTATTGTTAGTATATTACTAACAAGGGGGCAGTTAAACCCTAAAACTAACAATCCCCTCTCTTCCCGACCCCAGTAAATGGAATTTTTTAATGGATGATAATTGAATGGTAACCCTGCCCGCGCTATCGGTATGCACTGGCAGGGCACCAGTGAGGAATGATTGGTAAAGATGAAAAGGCAGGTCAGTTAGCCCACCGTGACGAATTCAACGATAAATTAGTCACGATAGTTTCCAGGGGGAATCGCGTGGAAGTCGACCTGATAGGGTATATTGCTAGCAATAGGATTCTCAGTATCCATTATTAACAATCCCTTTCCCCCAATTAGACGGATGTTAATCCAGGCCGTAATGTGACGAATTCACTAGAAGTTAATCACAATGATTCAGGATGGACAAAGGTTGATCTGATAGGATTAGTCTAGATTTTAAAACAAGATTCGTCAATCCAAAATAGACCTAGGTCAGAGATAATAAGGATATGTCCAAATGGAGGTTATCAGTAGAATTTAGAATGTTGTTTTGGTATAAGCTCGCAAAGAAGATGTGGTAGAGAATAACAATGGACGGAAATGATTATGACTTTGTACCACTTAAGTCTACTCACAGCTAATATGCAATTTTAGCCAGGCGTTACAAAATGAGTTAAAATTGCCTACAAGATGCAGTCTTTTCGAGGAAAATCTGATGATCATCCCGTCTGGGTTAGTGAAGTACCAGTGAAAGATGATAGATGAGTATGAAGTGAAGTCAGTTGACCCATTGTTTATTTATTTAACTACTTTGATGGAATATCAATAGGCATAGAATAGGCCACCTTTCCTTTTCTGTGGGTGTCTAAGAGGCCACTAAGGGGGGGGGGGGGGGGGGGGAAGGAATTGTATCAGGTCGACCACGCGGTTACCCCTAGAATTTACCGTGACTAATTTATCGTTGAATTCACGATGGGCTAACTGACCTGTCTTTTCATCCTCGCCTATCACCTCTCACTGGTGCCCCGCCAGTGTAAACCGATAGCGCAGGCGGGAATACCATGCCATTTTCACCCATTAAAAAAAAGAGGCCACTAAGGAATCTAAATTGTCGAGGGATGGGCAGTAACGATTGTCTTAAAACATCTCTAAAGCCTAACTGTGGTTGTCAATCCGTCTGCCAAGCGTGGCAACTAATGGCAACCCCCCTCCCTGATTGGAGGAGGCCTTTTTTTAGCAGTGGACAGTTAACGGATAATATGGATTGACCAAATCAGGCAAACAGAGAAATAAAATCTGAGTCTTCAGGAATGGCAACGCATAGGGGTATCATGGGCGAAACAGTATACTCTGTTATGTCATAGTACTGCTCTTGTCTATAGGCGACGGTTACTACTTTCCATCAGGTGGGCCGTCAGTTTGTTTACCGTTCTAAGTTGCATAAAAAAAATTAAAATGTAGTATACAAAGGGGACTTAATGCTAGAAGTTAAGTTAAGCTAGTAGAATGCATTTCCTACCAGTAAAGTTATTTATTCATAGGGGATTAATCGTGACTGTCTCCAGGGTGACCACTTGAAGTTAATACTTCAATTAAATACTTTAAATCTGTATGTAATATATGAATCACTCAATGATACATTACGAGTATCAATTATTTAGAGGACTAAAGTACTTTTCATGATTCCTTATTGTTCCAATTCAAACACGAACGGTGTTGTTCATAACAGGTCAGGCGAGTCATACAAAAACACAAAACATTACTACTGTTAAATAAAATAAAACCTAGTCCCCACAATGATTTCACAACTAGGGTCACCCGATGCTGAGTGTAAATGCGTCGACCGGCGACGCTATGTCGGGAGGGCGCGGTGGTCTCTCAGTCGCCAACACTCGTAGCAAGAGGTCACTCGTACGCTGTGCTAATACAACTCTGTATACATCAACATGACCCGTAGTGTGCTTACTCCACTGAGCTTAGCTGTACTTCTAGCTGTCATTGAAATCGGTAAGTTTTAATTGTAAAACTTGTGCCAGCGATAGTACTATTTGTTTTGGCTGATTAGATTGTGGACTTGAAACAAGATTACGGTAGATGTCAATGTTTAAATAAACTATTTGCAAATTACGTTACTATTTGAAAAGTTGTACGCAGAAATAGGTCTTATCTTAAAATTCCAACAGTTTCCGGCAAAATTTCTAAAAATTTTATATCGTGTTATATTTATGTCTTCGTCGTAGTTAAAACCATATCTCTAATTCTGTTTGTAGATACTTTATACTTTAATTTAAGTAAAGATTGTGTTATTCTTAAAATAATAGTCAACAAATTCATATTAAATGAATTTTAAAGTTCGTATATATAAGGAGACAGACATATATATTTAATTATTTCTATTATTAAAACACAAATATACAAAAATAATGATTTCATACATTTAAATAATATAGATACTTAAAACTTTTTTACATGCGTAGGTTAAATAAACCTTGTATCTATATCCGAGCAAGTTTTAGTTATTTTTATCTGACCGATTTTTCCATATAAGCGCTGTTTATTTATAAGTAACGAGTAATGTATTGAGAAAATTTATAGTAAATGAAGGGCGCCACTTCGAATTATGTTTATTTATTTTTTATAAACAAAAACATAAATAAAAACAAAATCTTTTCAAGCGATGTGAAACACATCGCGCGATGTTTCGCACTTCGATGAACTATAAAATATTTCGTCCTATTGCAATCCTGTGCTTGCAAGTAAATTTTGCTACGCAACAAGTAACTTTTTGTTCTTAAAAATGGTTTCAGTTGTCACAAAATTAAAAAAAAAACACTGGAGTAAATTCTATGGACTGAAAAATTAATATCAAAATCTTTTCAAAATTAGCAATATAATCGTGTAATATTATCACAAATAAAAGAGATAAATTGGGAAACTAATTTTTTTTTATTTAAATTTTTACAAATTTGTATTAGTTTTACAGATGTCTGATTCCAAAACGCAGTAGTATTTAACGACTGACATAATAATGATAAAATCTATTAATAAAGTGTTTGAAGTAAAACCACAGATGATTCTTAAATGTATAAAATAATTTATAAATAAAATAATTGATAACGTGTCATAACATGGAGTATTCATCTTATTCAATGATAATTCTTTGCAACATAGCTATTAAGTTGAGTTTGAACTTGATTAAATACAAAATAAATAATAAGTATAATAGGTACAAAGGATTCGGTCCTTTCAGGTTCGTCCAGTTTTTATGACGTTTATAGGAGAAGGACTTTTTTTTTTATAAGCTCGCAACACTATGGAATAGCCTTGAAATATTTTTTTATGTAGATGTAATTACGTCTACGTTCATGGGCAATGGCAAATGACATCATCATGATGGCCTCGTAATGTAAGAAAAGGAATAAAACTGACAAATATTATTCAATCCTACTATTTGTAATCTTTGCATTTTAATACCAATGTATTATATATTATATATATATCACTACATAGTATAAAACCAAAGTCGCTGTCGCTGTCTGTCCGTCCTTAGGTATGCTTAAACCTTTAAAACTACGCAATGGATTTTAAAGGGGTTATTATTAAATAGATAGAGTGATTCAAGTGGAAGGTTTATATGTATAATAAATGCATAATATTATAGAGAAACACTGATAAATTTAGAGATTTCTAATGTGGTGTCGTAAATAAACATATTTTTTTGCGTTTCCATTTCAAACGCTGGCTGAATCTCACGAGATAAATCAAAATAATGTACTACAATATTGTACACCTTAAAAAGGTCAACAAAAAAGTCCTGTTAGTATCCTGTATCATGTTAGTATTGTCTAATGACGAAAAAGCTGTAAATGTTATTTATAAGGATATTCTGTAGTAGGTAGGTATATTTAGTATCAACATTGCACCCGTGCGAAGCCGGGGCGAGTCGCTAGTAGTATATAATATTATATTATAGGTATATATAGTAAGTGTATAGGTATATTATTAAAATTTTAATGTAACCAATAAAGAAGGCAGTATTGCAGGCGTTCATAGGCTACAGTGACCGTTACAGTAACAGTGAACATCAAACGGGCTGTATACTTGAATGCCACATTTGTAGTATAAAAAAGAAGGATACTAAACAGATTTTAATGAAATTTTTCTTTGTTTTCTGTTAGTCAATTTGATTTTTTCGTATTAATGTAATGATATATTTTTAATTATAATAAAAGAAAAAAAAAACAAATTGGTAATTAGCGCGACGAAAATTAAACCCGGAAGTGACGCAAAATTAGCGTCTCTAACTCGTATAACATTTACATACACTTCTGCACAAATAACAAACACTAGTCATGTTATTTAGTCTTGTGGTTTAAACACTCCTTCCTTTTTAAATTATTTGTCAATATTATGGAATATATAAATGAACATATAAGTGCCTATATATGCTGTCGCTGTACTCGGATAATTTTTTTTATTTTTTTTTTTGTGCATATTATATTTATTTAAAAAAGAACAGAAAAAACATTGTTTTAGCGTTTCGTGTAAAATCGGCCGGATTTTAGCGGTATTTACTATATATTTACAAAATAAAAAAAAATATATAATATAATTCAACACGATATCGTTTACCACTAGACGTTTATTATCATTCTAAATCCAGTCTATTTTTTAATGATATTACTAGCTTTTACCCGTGATTTCGTTCGCGTGATCAGGATATGTTTACTGAGTAGGATAAAAAGAAGGCTATATTCTACTGCTTCCCATATGTATCTATACGTGTATATCAAATTTCATAGTGATTAGGTAAGCCGTTAAATCAATATAAGGTAACAAACAAATTCACTTTCACATCTATATATATATATATATATATATATATATATATATATATATATATATATATATATATATATATATATATATATATATATATATATATATATATATATATATATATATATATATATATATATATATATATATATATATATATATATATATATATATATATATATATATATATATATATATATATATATATATATATATATATATATATATATATATATATATATATATATATATATATATATATATATATATATATATATATATATATATATATATATATATATATATATATATATATATATATATATATATATATATATATATATATATATATATATATATATATATATATATATATATATATATATATATATATATATATATATATATATATATATATATATATATATATATATATATATATATATATATATATATATATATATATATATATATATATATATATATATATATATATATATATATATATATATATATATATATATATATATATATATATATATATATATATATATATATATATATATATATATATATATATATATATATATATATATATATATATATATATATATATATATATATATATATATATATATATATAGAGTCGGGTTAGGTACACCATTTATAACTCCAGAACGGCTGTTTACATTTTAATAATCTATGATCCGTTGAATTCGACTCCGCCCCGAATAGCAAAATAACTATTAGAATATCGGAAAGATTCACTTAGTATTAGTAAGAACGAAGTTATGGGTACAATTAGATAATAATATTCTTGTACAATATTCCTTTTCCGTGTTCCTTCCCCGTGGGTTTCATAAGAGGCGACTAAGGGAACATAATGGTAGAGGGATGAACCGCAGGATTTCTTATTGCCTGTTAAGCGTGGCAACTATTGGCAAAAATCCCCCATGGGGAAGCCTATGTTCAGTAGTGGACAGTTAAGAGCTAATATGATATGATGACGCTACATCAGTAGGCATGTACTCCTTTTATGGGGTTGGAATGACACCCATGCTTACGTAATAACGTTATATCATTTGTATTCATACCCATAGGGTATTAATGGGTTATTGAAATAATTATGGCGATGATGTTGGAAGGAATTTCATTAAAAAAGTGCCAGTCTTTTGCTTGAAATACTAAATTATCTACCAGTATTATAGTATTATTAAAAGTTTGCCATTGCACTGACGTAAAGTTGCAATAAAATGTTAATAACTACCCAGTTAGTAATAAATAACTGTGACTTTAGTATCGATTAATGAACAAGTGTTTGTTTTTCTATTAATCAGTATAATACCATGATAAGGTAATTAAAATCGGAATCAATTTATTACGAATTGCAAACTACAATATTTCGATGTTTTTATATTTTTCTTTTTACTCTAACATAATATATATATATATATATATAGAAAAATATTAATTATTAGAAACTTAAATAACTGTGAGTTTATATCATTGCTATGAGGTAAACATGTGACATCACTATTACTAAATTTAACTATTCGAACTTAAATAATTTGTTTTTACATAGTACTCCTCTTATAAAAATATTTAAATAGACTTTTTTTTGTTATGACAATATCATAGAATTTATATTAAAATTGTTTAACTGCTATATGCAAGCAGCAAAAAACTCAAACTCTTTTGTTGAAATACTATCTGGTGCCGTCAATATAATAATATCACAAAAACATCTGTCATAAATTACATTTCCATTTAATTACTTTGTAACCAATATACGTTAATCTACTATCCTTATTAATAATAAAATTATAAATGTGTTTTTTATCACTTTTTTGGCATTTGAACGGCTCCACTAGTCGTTATAAAATTTTGTATACACTTAACTCCCTTATTTATAAAAATGTCAAACGCCTCGTAAACCTATTTTAGCTGTTGAACTGTTTTGTCTCTTTCTTTTATGCTACATTCCCAATTTGAAAGAACGTGACAAAATAGTTCAATAGCCAAATGAGTATTGTAGTAGGTTTTAGTTGTTTTGAAAAAGGGATTAATATTTGGGAAGAAGATGGGCATAGACAACTTTTATCCTGGCCAATAGACATATCCTGATTATGGGAACGAAGTCGCAAGTAAAACCTAGTAACATATCATAT